TGACTCTGAGAAAATCAGAAGTTCCATAGTGCCAGATCCTATGAATGAGATAGATGAAGACACACTGTAATGTTTTTATGAGCCTGCCTCCTCCATTGAATTGTACACAGTATTTCATAGCACTTGTAAAGACACTCATGAAAGAGTTCCAGAACTGCTTCAGAAAGTAGCAAGAATAATGAGATGTGTTTGAAGCAAAGGAAAGTTATATAATAAGACCTAAGACAAATCAGAAAATTACATACAGTAAGTATCTACTCATTAAGGGAGAAAATTTAAAATGGATAAGGAAAAATAAATAAATAGGGAGGAGCAAAGATGGCGGATAGATAACAACTGGCTACAGAGGCTCCCTGAGATAGTCAACTTAGAATTCAACATAATACAAGGTGGGGAGCCCTAAACATAGGGAGATGAATTCTCTCATCTCAAGAAGAAATTAAGGTGATTTGCCAACACTCTGAGGTCCCACCGCAACTGGCCGCTGCTGTGACTTGCCAGGGTCCCACCGTGACTTACTGAGGTCCCACCACGACTTGCTGGGGTCCTGACATGACTTGCTGGGGTCCTGCCATGACTTTCCAAACAATCCAAGGTCCTGCCGCTTTGACTCACTGGAGGCGCAGTTAAATTAAGTTGGGGGTCAGCGAGCCAAATGGAGAGCTGAGTTGGCAGGGAGTCTACATCAACCTGTGGTGTGTGATGGGAGTGGAGCCATTCCATAAATAGGGGGGCTCTGGCAGATGATATTCTGGGACCAGGCAGGACTGGCAAGTACAAGGGGCAGCAGTGACTTCAGTCAGTTGTTCCCTTCCCAAACAGGATTGGGGGCGTGAGCTAGGCCTGAGTCACGTGACCCAGCTGAGGCCCAATAGGTTATCCAAGTTCAAGTCCCTGCAGCAGTGGCACACACTAACCACACTGGCCCAGTGGGGCCTCGGAGATTTGGTTGGTCTGAAGGGAGGCTGCACAAAGTAATACAGTAGTGCAGGCCACAGCAGGTTAACTGATCTGGAAGGGAGGGACCAGCATACACTGTCCTTGTCTGCAGCTCACTAGCTCACTGCACTATGAAGGGTCACCTAACCAGCATGCTTCAGAAAAATTGTAACCAACAAAGAAAGAAACTGGGGCCTCCTGGAAGAAGCAAAAAAGATGGGAAGAGGAAGCAACAACGAAAAGTCCCCAGGCCCCAACCTTGAGAACATTGACCCATGACAGGTAAATACAAAAGAGAATGAGAACAGCAAACATGCAATACCAGACACAGTGCCAGTGGACATAAAGAGATATATTTGGGACCTCATGGACAAGTTCAAAAGTGAAATATTTAGCCAAATAAAGCAAGATATAAGATGATTAATAAAAGAGATACTAAGCACTCCTCAAGCAGACACAGACAGAAGAAGGGAGGAACTCTACACAGGACAGAACCATTTGGTGAAGACTATAAAAAAATATAGAATACATAAAGCAGATTCAAAGAGATCACCAGGAAATTAAAAACTCTATGGAAAGATGGCAAATCAGCTTGAAAGAAACTAAGGATAGATTATCCAAACCAGAGGACAGTTTGGCAATGTGGGAGTACGAAAAGGAAAACTTTTTAAAAATAACAAGGAAACAAGCAGTAACAATACAAAGGCTAGAAGATGACAAAAGGATCTATAACTTGAGAATAAAGAATGTAAATGAAGAAGCTGGGATACAAACAAGGGAACTACAAAGGTTATTCACAGAAATTAAGGAAAACTTCCCAAACATAGGAAAAGGAAATGATATTCTGATATATGAGGCATACAGAACTCCAACCACCTACAGCCAAAACAGAGCTACCCCCAGGCATATAGTAATCAAGATCCCAGAAATTCAATATAAGTACAGAATATTAAAAGCTGTTAGACAGAAAAAAAGGCGAGAATTGTTTGATGGAGAAAATAGAGAAAACATAGAATACGTGAAGCAGGTTCAAAGAGATTACCAGGAAAATAAAAACTCTTATTGAAAGCTGGCATAACAGCTTGAAAGAAACTAAGGATAGATTATCAGAACTGGAGGACAGAATTGTAAGGTGGGAGCATGAAATGAAAAACTTCTTAAAAATAACAAGAAAACAAACAGCAATAATACAAAGGCTAGAAGATGATAAGAGGATCTAACATAAGAATTAAGAACATAAAAGAAGAAGTAGGGACACAAACATATGAACTGCAAAGGCTATTCACAGAAATAATCCAGGAGAATTTCCCTAATTTAGCAAAAGGTAAAGATACTCACATGTATGAGGCATACAGGACCCCAGCCACCTACAACCCAAACAGAGCTACACCCAGGCATATAATAATCAAAATTCCAGAAATCCAATATAAGAACAGAATATTAAAAGCCATCAGAGACAAGAAACAGATCACTTACAAGGGAACACCCATCAGAATTACAGCAGACTTCTCAGCACAAGCCATCAAATCACGAAGAGTGTGGGGGGAAATAATTCGAGCTTTGAATGATAATAACCTCCAGCCAAGATTGATATATCCTGCACAACTGTCCCTAGAAATTGATGGAAAAGCAAGGTGCTTCCAGGATAAAGAGGAACTAGGGGAATTTACAACCACCAATTCAACTCTACCGAGATTACTGCAAGATATTCTAAAAAGGAAAAATACCAAGATTCCAGAAACAGTGGCAGAGAGTCCACAATGAATGGAGCAGAAAGCAAAATGAAGACAAACTGATAGTGACAGAAAAAGAGCTCAACAGAAATGAGGCAGAGAAGGTTGGATGGTAGAAACAGCCATTTTGGAGAAAACAAGACATCATAATAGCTAGTGCTGATTTAATATCCTCTTCTTTTGAAGTCCCATCAAGCTTTTGTTCTTCTGTCTCCATCGGTTTTAATCTGTTGTATCTTATTGGATTTTATTATATATGATAATATAAACAAAAACTTTTATACACAAGGAGATTATACAGAAACCATTGTTCATTTTCTGTTAGTTGATTCTAAATACACTGTAGTACTGTCATTCTCTTGAATGGTTTTACATTGTCTTGATATGTTTGATGCTACAGTATACGAAGTTATACCCAAAGATTTTAAGGAAAGAGACACTATGGTAACTACTTTTATGTCGAGATTATCTTGTGGTGAAACATTATTTTGCTTAAATGGCTATGTTTTGACCTGCGCTGTTTTGTTGTTATGCACTCTTTTTTATCTCAATCTCCTTTTCATTATCTACTTTTTCATTTTACCCTATTAAGGGAAAAATAAATAAAAATAGCAGGATATATTATAGTAACCCACTTTGATTTCCTATTAACTTGATTCGAAACCCTGTATTGCTCTCACCATCTTGTTTTGACTGATTTTCCTCTATTCTGTTATGCTTGATAGTACCGAGTTTAAAAGTATAGGCAACAACTATGAAGACAATCAGATTCATTATGACGCCCATTCTGGTTGACTATTATCTTCTTTTGAAGTCCTCTAATGTCTCCAATGTTTTGGTTTTATTGGTCTTATTCTTTACTGTTTTGTTCAATTTTATTATAACTGATGGTATGGGCAATTCTTTTTAAGATAACAAGAGGCATTATGGTAACCATTGTTGATCACCTAGTATTTTGTTTTTACATTATGTATTATGTCCATCCTTTTGATTTGACTGACTCTATTTTGTTATGTCGCATTTGGTTTTACTTTCTTCAAAAAAAAGTAATAAGAACTGTGGGAGTAATAAAACCCAAAATGTGTAATTGTCAGTGTACAAAAGAAAGGAAAAGAAAGTGCTCTAAAGGATGTAACTGCATATATATTTAAGTGTATAAGATAACCATATTACTGAGTTTTGTTGGATCATTGAACAAAACTGTTTGCAGTCTCACTGTTTGAAAGTTCCCTCTATATGCTTTAATTTTGTAACTATAACAATTATTTCTAAGATGACAATATGTAATTAACTAGTGATTTCCTACTGTTTATTTTTTCTGAAATTCTGTATAACTTGTACCCTTTTTCTTTTTTTTTTTTTTTTCTTTTTTCTCCTTAAATAAAAAAAAGGCTGTTAGAGACAGATAACCTACAGAAGAAGGCCCATTAGAATAACGGCAGACTTCTCAACACAAACCATCAAGTCAAGAAGAACATGGAGCGAAATATTCCAATCCCTGGAAGAAAATAATCTCCATTCCAAATTGATGTACCCTGCTAAACTGTCTCTAGAAATTAAATTTTTGTACAGTGGTCTTATATGTCTTTTTTGTTTCAAGTGTTTATAGGAATATGTTTTGTTTTGCCTTGCTTTGTTTTGTTTCTCCCTCTAATATAGAAAGGATAGAAATACATGTTAAGACTCATGCATGTGTAGAATCTATAAACAATTTATGAGAACTGATCATATGACATATGATGAAATGAACAGATACTTTGAAGAAAAAGAGACACTAAAATACCCAGTGCTGATCCTGGAGTGTCATCCTGTGAAACCCAGCAATAGTATTATTCTTTGTTCAGAGTGATATTAGCCTGCTTGGTGTTATTCAGTCTCAACATAATTGAAGATATGGTTAACTGCACATATGTTTAAGTGTATAGGATTGATAACCATATTTCTAAGTTTTTGTTGGATAGTTGAACTGGTTGCAATTTCACTGTTTGAATCCCTACTTTATAAGCTCCACTTTAGTATTGTAAATAACTATTTGTAAGAAGACAATCTGTAATCATCAACTAGTGATTTCTTACTGTTTAGCTTTTCTTTGAAATTATGTATTATTTCTACCCATTTTGTTTTATTTAGTCTTTCTTTAAATTAAATTTTAAAAAAAACAGACACCACAGTACCCAGTGCTGATCACATAGTATCATGATGTGAAATCCAACAATACTATTATTCTTTGTTCAGAATGATTTTAACCTGCTTTAGTTTGTTTAATGTAAACACAAATGAAGATATGGATAACTGCATGTATGTTTAAGTGCATAGGATTGACAACCATGTTACTAAGTTTTTGTTGGACAGTTGAACAGAACTGTTTGAGCTCTCACTGTTTGAATTCCCACTTTACATGTTCCACTTTTGTATCTTGAACAACTATTTGTAAAACGACAATATGTAAACATCAACTAGTGATTTCTTACTGTTTATGTTTTTCTTCTCTGAAAGTATGTATTATTTCTATTTTCTGTTTTGTTTAGTCTTTAAATAAAATTTTAAAAAAAGAAAAATAAAGATTAAAAGCAAAGCTGAAGGACAAAGGAGGATTACTCAAGCCTTGGGAAACTGAAGACAGGAGGGGAAGAAAAGGAAAAAATGAAACAAGAAGAAATCTAAATGTTCACACTCACAAAAAACAAAAACGAACAATCAAAAAACTCACCAAAACCAACAGCAGAGACAAAGAAAGAATTTCTCTGTGATTTCAAGCCTATCATGGCTTGTCTCACTCAGAGCACAGCTGTGCTGTCTCTGGTAGCAGAGTCAAGATCTGTGCTGGATGACCCAGCAAGCCTGCCACAGAGTTAGGGCAGGGTGCCAGTTTTGGTACTTTCAGACCCACAGAAGTTTGGCTAATCATGGTGTCTGGTTGTGGTACTGGGGCCTGAGTCAGTCAGCCGACAATTCTCTGGGTGTCCTTAGCAAGCCTGGCCTTCACTCCCTGACCCTGGACATCTCCTGAAGTTGTCTCTTCACTCAGTCATTATGGGATTTCAACACTGGGTGCCCTGAGATGAAGCTAACCCCTGGCTGCTCTGAGCTCCAGGTCCAGCTGGCCTCTTCCTCACATGGTACCTGTCCTCTTCAGGGGATACAGCAGTCTCTTGGCCTGGAGTCACTCGCCTGCCGCTGTAGCTCACAGCATCCACTGCTCTGTTCCACTGGTGGGTTCCTCCCTGGAATCACCACCCTCACTGTGTCCCTGCGGATTTGATCCTCTTCTCTCCAGACACAAGCTGAGAGCCAGGTAAAAAGTACAGATTGCCTCCTCCTCTTTTCTGCGGTGGGTCAGTCTTTTCATTTTCTCTGTGGGCTCCAATTTTCCCTTCAGATCCTTCCTGCATCCCAGAGATACATCATCCTCTTTTTCTTCCCCAAATTGTTTTACAGTGTCTGAATTCTCAATCTTGGAAAGGTCAGTTTGCCGTTGTTTACTGCTTTGCCAACTTTTCAGTTGAATTGAAAAGAAGCCATTTGTCTTGGTTATTTTTCTCTCATTGCTGAGACAAAATACCTGGGGCCCAAAATGAAGGAAGGAAAGGTTTATTTAGCTTGTAATTTTTGGAGGTTGTAGTCCATACTCAGCTGGCTCCAAGGCAGGGTGGTGTGGCTAAGGGGCAGCTGTTCATGGCAGCTACAAGTGACAAGAGGGAACAGGGTGAAAAGGGCAAAGCAGGCTTCCCTCTCTTACATGGTATTCCACCTACCTGTTCCTGGGCAGCACTCACACCACCAATCCCAGCGCTAGACAGACAACCAATCACAAATGCTAGATTCAGCCGCCTCCATGACTGGCTGAGGCTTGGGGGCCATCCAAACATAAATCAAACACCATTGTATATGGGGTACCTACTCCCTTTGTGTTGGACACACTGCCTTTCCTGATGGGTATCTTGCCATCCTTTGGACATAGCTTGAAAACATTTTTTTAAAACTTTTGTTTAAAATCTCAGCTCTACTAAGCAGTTATACTTTTTGACAATGCATAGAGGCAAGTTTTAAAAGAAACCCAAGTAGACCTTACAAAAAGTTGAAAAGTACTAAACTAACCATTTATTTCCAACCCACTTTTAAAAATTAGGCATTCTAAATATATATATGCCTGGCTCATGAGTTGCCCTTCTTTGTGCTCTCATCTTTCTGCACATAACAACATTTTAATAACACAGTGCATATATTAAATAGCACAATCATTTAATGGGATGTTTCTTTGACATCTCCCTCACTAAACTGGCATCCAGCAGACCAGTTCACCCATCTGGGGTTATTGATGCATTCAATGTGCTGAATTAGGCCTGCTTTTCAAAATTGTTTGTTGAACAAACAAATTGTCATTTTCAACTCCGGGCTTGGTCCTCAGTCTAATGAGGTAATTTTTAATTCATAGCACTAGTCCTTAATCAGATCAAATCTTCTCAGACCCACTTTTACTAAAAGAAATAGAAATAAAAACCCTGCTGGGATACTCAGTTTTCAGTCACATCCTTGCCAGTGGTCATGTAAACTAACATGATTTTGATGGAAGGCACTTTGGCAATGTTTATCAAAATTCCAGATTCTGGGAATTTCTCTCGCAGAATTCTTCAGGCTTCAAAGATATGTGTAAGAACTTTCACTGTGGTGTTGTGTGAGTAGCCAAAGACTGGGAATGGCCTGTGTGCCCACTCTGAGGGACCAGTTCAGGAAATCATATATTCATACAGAAAAGTCCAGAGGAAAAAGCATTACACAGCTTGGTATGTATCCGTAAAACATATTAAGAAAAATTATATTCAAGACTGCATGCCTGCAATCCCAGCACCTGGGAGACTGAGGCAGAAGGTTGGCTGCATGTTTCAGACCAGCCTGAACAATATAGTGAGTTCAAAGCCAGTGTGAATTATAGGAGATGCTGTCTCAAAAAACAAAACTGTATACTGGCCAAGTATGGTAGTGTACACCTGTAATCCTAGCTGCTCAGAGGCTGAGGCAAGAGGATGGCATGTTTGAGACTAGCCTGGTCAATTTACCAAGACTGTGTCTTAAAACTAAAATTTAAAATAGCTCTATGTAGCTCCATGCATAAGTGCTTGCCTAGGGTGTGTGAGGCCCTGGGTTCAATCCCCAGTGTTACAAGGAATGTTTGGGGACACCATCATATATTATTACAAGATGAAGACAGGGACACACTAGTGTGCACTTGCACGGCCAGCTCTGAATGGATTTACAGAACACTCGAATTCTGCTTCAGGGAGCAGCCCGGATAGGTGAAGGGAGCTTCTATCGCTCCCAAACAGAAAGTGCCCTGCAGCTCACCATTTTCTTGCTGATCCTAGGATGAATCTGAGGTTCTCATGGTGCCTATGAGGTGTTTGGTGACAGAATCTTCCTGCTTCCCAGCGTTGGGTTCAGCCTCTGGGTTCCTAGTTGCCTTTAGTTCTGGGAAGACTACAGCCCATTGCATCTCCTCTGGAGACCCTCCCCGCAGCATCCTCTCACTTAGCCCTTCATCAGGTGACCTTTCCCTGCTACCAGGTGAGACCTTCCTCCCCCACACGACTTCTCTGGGGAACCGCACTTCCTGACTGTTCCACTCAGAGGCGCCCCAATGACTAAGCAGCAAGCCATGCCCAGTGTGGATATTCTGTGCCCTGGGCCTGGCACAAAGCATTTCCTCCCTGCACACAGTGGGAGAAGAGGGGAAAGGGAAGAGATCAGGGGAGAAGAAAAGCAGCAGGAGCCAAGTACCTGGGGCCAGCAGTGCAGCAGTACATTACTCCTCATCAGGAACCAGGATAAGGGCTCAGCATCTGTCATCTACTTGAACCTTCTACTGTGAGCTCGGTGGCCTTAGAATCTATAATTTTTCTTCTTTTTTGAGACAAGGCTTTGCAATACAGTTCCAGCTGGCCTTGGACTCACTGTGTGGCCCAGGCTGTCCTCTAACTCCAGACAATCCTCTTGCCTCAGCCTCCCAAGTGCTGGGATTACAGGCATGCAATACCACACTCAGTTCTAGATTTTATAATTTCTAGAAATTGTATATTTTGGTTCAATTAATGAACACATTTGTCAAAGCCACTGAATATTTTTTTCTTTTGTCAAGGACTGTTATCTGAATGTCTCTTTTCTCTTTTCCCTTAACACCTGAACAGCAATAGCTTTTCACATAAAAAGCAATGATTTCAATCTCTTATGAGTAGGACAGTATTTCAATATATACACATTAGGACTTTAGCTTTTGTTGTTGTTGTTGTTGTTTGTACTGGGAGTTGTACCCAGAGCTATTTCTCCAGCCTCTTTCTGTTTTGAGATAAGTTCTCTCCATAACTCACTGAGTTGCCCATGCTGAGCTTAAACTTATGCCTTTCCTGCCTCAGCCTCCCAGAGTGCTGGGGTTACAGGTGCGTGCCACCCTGCCTGGCTATTTTTAATATTATTTTTAAAAGCTATATCAATGCTATCTTTAAACATAAATCAGATGGTCATGTGTTGCATTTAGGGTAAGAAGCAAGTTCCTTACCCCGCCTCCAAATCCCAGAGGGAGAAGCCACCACCTGCCTCCTGCGCTGCCCCTCGGGCCTTCTGCCAAGCTGTCCTTATCCCTGAGAGCTGTCACTCCACAGCACTCCCTGGAATGCTGTCCTCTTTGGGGCAGCAGCCAGGAAAGCCTTTCTTTTTTTTTTTTGTCTTTTTCCTTTTTATTGGTACCAGGGATCGAACCCACGACTGCCTGCTTGCAAGGCAGGCGCTTATGCCGCTGAGCTAAATCCCCAGCCCCTAGGAAAGCCTTTCTAATCCCTCTGGGGCAAGGGGCTCTGTGGATCCCAGGAGCTCCAGGCTGCTGGCTATCTGGTGTAGGGGCTGCACTTGCAGCTGGGCCTGAAAGCCAGGCTGGACTTCAGACTCCAGACACAGCAGTGTTCAAAGGACCCCGTGCCCTTGGCCTCTGAGTCATTATAGTGCAAAGCCATGGCTGCTCACGCCTTTCCATGCCATCGGGTTTTGAAGTGATAAATTTAAGTATTTGTAAAGCATATAATGTTTAATCTTCTAAAAAGCTAAACATATTCATTGGAAATAAAATACCAACTCAATCTGATTCCTGCCTTTGTCCTTTAAAAAATATGTTCAAGGGCTGGGGATATAGCTCAGCAGCACAGTGCCTGTCCAACAAGCTCAAGGTAATAAATTCAATTCCTGGGACCAAAAAAAAAAAAAACAAAAAAAAAAAAAAACTTCATGAGTCCATTAACAGTGGGAAATAGTGCAGTGTTTATTTTTCTCTCAAAAATCTATATTTTTATTCCATCCTTTTCCCTCCTCCCAATGTCTTATACTTTTACTTTCAAAAGTCTGCTATTAGTAGACCTGTTGTCTTTCTGCACCAAAATATGTATGCACATTTTAATTAAATTTTCAACATTTCTTGTGATTTCAATTCTCAAATTGTTAAAGTTTCTATAATTGTAATTAGTTATTATAATTATCAGTAGTACACAGCAAGAAGTAGTAGCACATGCCTGTAATCCCAGTACTCAGAAGGCTGAAGCAGGAGGCTTACTATGAATTCAAGGCCACTTTGGGCTACATAGGAAGTTTAAAACCAGTCTCGATTACATAGCAAAACCCTGCCTCAAAAGAAAAAATAAAAGCCAGGCATGGTGGTGCACACCTGTAATCCTAGCATTTGGGAGGCTGAGGCAGGAGGATCACTGGAAGTTCAAGGCTGGTCTGAGCTACAAAATGAGTTCAAGGCCAGCCTGAACTGCATAGTGAAACTCTGTCTCAAAAAATAAACAAATAAAAAAGTAGTACAGCTGATTAGAAATATAAATGATGGTGGCCAGATATGGTGGTACATACCTGCAATCCCAGCACTTGGGAGGCTGATGCAAGAGGACTGCCAAGAGTCTGAGGTCAGCTGGGCTACATGGTGAGTTCAGGTCCAGCTCTTTTGGAGACCCTGTCTCAAAAACCAACCAAAAAGAAAGAGAAAAAGAAAGAAAAAAGGGGAGAGAAAAAAAACTGTGGTATTGGGCATTAAATCCAGGGTATTCTATCACTGAGCTACAGCTGAAGAATCTTCCTGCCTCAGCCTCTCAAGTAGCTAAGATTACAGGCCTACAGCATGATGCCCAGTGAAACAGTTCTCCAAGTTAGATATATGGGGGCTGGGGATTTAGCTCAGCAGCATAAGCGCTTGCCTTGCAAGCAGGCAGTCGTGAGTTCGATCCCTGGTACCGATAAAAACAAAAAAGACAAAAAAAAATTTAACCAAGTTAGATATATGGAACTATGTTTTCAGTTGGTTTCTGCATGTTTGAATATTTATTGTCAGAATGACAGTTTAGAATTGGTTCTATGCCTATTTGGTTATAGATGTAAGTCTGAGAGATTTTTTTCATCCAGATAAGTAAATAGGGAAAAATATGTTGTTATAGCAGCATTATTCAATTCTCTAAACTTCCACATTTTACATCAGAAATCACGAAACAATGTATCACTAAAAATCATTATTAATGCTCTACTTATATGTCTTAATCCAATCATATTGATATAAAATCACTGGGAACTACTTGACTTGCAAAAAATTAATCAGTCATTAAAGTCCACTATTTAGGGAGTCTTCCTGGTGTTTAATGTCCTGGTGGTCTTTACATTCAAGAAGGTGCAGATTTTATATTCACACCACAGAAAAATTTGGGAGGAGTGGAACGCATTCATCCTGACTTTCTTAAATGGTGGGGTGACTTTCTGTTTTACCTTTCTTTGTTTCTCTAGACAGGATTTCACTATGTGGTCAGGCCAACCTAGAACCTGGAATTCTCCTGCCTCAGCCTCCCAAGTACTGGGGTTACACCAATATGTTCTGCCCTCAAGGACAGATGATTAGAGGAAAGGTCAGCAGGGAACCCACTCAACCCCTGGACCAAGAACAAATCTTCAAGCAGCAGAAGGTAGGAAACAGCACGGTTCTTTCTCCCTTCTGCTCCATGGAGCTGTAGGTCTGTCAAAAAGCTATATATTCAAATACTTCTCCACCTCTCCTGTTTACAGAGTTTGTGGTCTGTGAACTATTGTAAACTCCTGTCAGATTATACAAAATAGTACTAGGAAATCCAAAGGTGTTGTATCCAGTGGGTCTGGTATCTCGGGGTCCTAAAGCAGTCACCCTAGCTGGGCCTGATACTCTCTCCCACATAGAAAGAGGAAAGGGGTGTGGAAAAGAGAATCAGCACAAGACCAAAGCTTCATGGCAGGAATACACAGTACAAAGCCACTCTGGAGGAGGACAGGCCTGGAGCTGGTCATCACTAAGCACCACCAGCCAGTGGTCCTATTTTATGGGGTAGAGGTCCCGTGTCCTCCCTTGGAGGGTCACAACTTGACTGGTTACTGGACTTTTTGCTGGGGGGCTAGGTTTGGGGTTACAGGGGGATTCTGAGGGCAAAGGGAACCTACCCAGAGGAGCTCAATGGCTCAGTGCTGGCTGTGCAGAAGCAGACATTAAAACACAGGCTGTCAGTTCAGCTGCTTGTTGAGCCACAGAAACTGTTTTCTTTCTACTTCTTAGAGGATCCTGGCTCCCTAAACTAACCCCCGTGAGGAAGGTGTCTGTCCCTACAAAGGTTTCCTACGAACACCACAATCCGGTAGGAAAAGCTGAGACTCGAGGGGCAGCGGGAAGCCAAGGCATCAGGGTCTCTTTCAGATGAGACCTGGCGGGACCCTGAAGGATGTGTTCTTGTGAGAACATTCTCTTCCATCATTTGGGGTGCTGATGGGGCAGTCCTCCTTTCTAGGCCTCTCTGCTGATTCCGGGCAAGGATGACGCTCAGAGCGATGCTGGGAGTGCGAGCAGTATGAGGAGAGCAGTGTGGCTGAGTCCATGTCCCATCAGTCCACACCACACCCAGGCTCTTGGCCTGTGCACTTTCCCTGGATCCTGACCCTGTTCCCTGATCTTAGTCTTTAACCAGGGTGCTGTCTTGGTGGAATCTGGGAATCTGGGACCTTCTCTAGAGGCTTTACCCATTAATCACTCTACCTGGCTCCCCAAATGCAGTCCTGAACATGCTTGAGGAAGTTTCGTTAGTGCTTGAGTTTCCTTTGAAATAAATGTCATTGTTCCTAATTACACTTACCCGCATACGGAGAACCATATTCTGCAGTGTCCACTAGTCCCTGAGGTGAGGTTGCTCCCGCCCGTCTTCACATCAGCTCAGCTCCTGAAGTGCACACACAGTGGCAGGGAGGAGTCCAGAGTTGGTTTTCTTCTCGATCCTGCCCAGGCTCACCCCTTGCTCATGCATCCCGGCTCAGCGAGTATATTTGCACTTCAGCTCAACCCAAGGGCTTGAGAGCTTTCCGGGAAGAGTCTGCCCTCCTTTCCAGATGAAGACAGACCAACAGAATTAGGGTTTCTTTTCCACACCTTTAGATTTTTCTTTTTCCTGCCATTGCTTTTCTCAGCATGATTTTTAGCTTTTTTGACCTTCCCCCACATCCCTGCAGATATTACCCCTATATCATCGCTTTGTCTAGCTAGCAGTCCGCCAATGTGTTGTTCTGGCATCCTGTAATTCTGAGGATTTCTGAGGCCCCAGGAGGTAAATACCAAAGCCATGAAATCTACAGACACAATATGGTCCTTTCAGGAGAGAGGACGTGTTTACTGGCAAGGAATACGCTCACCTGGCTGAAGGGCAGCATCTCTCAGCTTCTTATGCTTTGTTTTGCTCCATTTATTTTCCACAACCACAGCAACCCTGAGCCTTTCAAAAGCTAAACAATTTCCACTCTGGGATGTTGAGGCAGGAGGGTCATGAGCTTATCCCCAGCAATTCAGTAATTTAATTGGAGATCCTGCCTCAAAACAGGAGATTAGCAGATGGGGATTTAGCTCAGTGGCACAGCGCCTACCTGAGTTTGATTCCCAGTACCAAAAAAAAAAAAAAAAAAAAAAAAAAAGCAATGGGGAGGGATTAGCCAGGCATGGAGGCTCATGTTTGTAATCCCAGCATTCAGGAGGCTGAGGCAGGAGGATGGCCATGAGATGGAGTTCAAGGCCAACTGGGTTACATAGTGAATTTAAGACCAACTTGAACCAGATAGTGAGACGCTGTTTCAAAAAGAAAAAAAGGGCGGGGGGAGCTGGGGACATATGGGGATGGCCCTGGGTTCAATCCCCACTACCGTAAAAACAAACCCTTAGCATCCTCTGGTTTCCCAGTCTCTGGTTGGGAAGAAAGCAACCTCTTGGGCCATTAATCGGGCTCATTGCCGGTCGACCTGTCTCTGCCTGACTGCCTCATTCTGGTAGCTTCTTGGCAGACACTCATGCTTGAAGCCTCCTCCAACCACAGGACTGGACCAGGAATCAACCTGCTAGCCAGACTCATTCCCCAGAACCTGACTCCCGTGAGAATTTAAATTTCACACTTGATTCAAGTCACCCCCCAAACTTCCCTCAGCACACACTAGGTCTGTGGCCCCTGCTAAGTCCCACTGTACCGTACCCTAGTGCAGTGTTCATCTTCACTCAGTGCTCACGCTGGGAGGCCCCTTCCTGCAGGACAGCTGCAGCAGGGTTGCTCCAGGTTGGGCCTCTGGGCTCAGTGGCAGGAGCATGGGAAGGAAGGTGCCTGAGAGAAAGTGGCAGAGCAATGTGGCTCGACTCACTGAGTGGCCCCATCTCGGCTGCACAGGAGACCCCGGGGAGTCCCAGAGTGCCCAGGTGACTGGAATGGCACAGTCATTCTGAGTGGTAGAAGTTTGCCAAAGGCTTCAAACCGCCATTGCACCTGAGAAAGGGAAGTGAGGCCAGGTGGGCTCAAAAGACAGGAAGAGTAGAAGGGCAAGGTGTGAGGCCCTGCACAGCTCAAGCTCAGGGAGCCCTGGGGGCACCGGGTGTTGCCTCTGAGTGGGAGACAGACCTGTGGTGATGGGGGTGGGAATGCCCCTGGCACGAGGACCAGAGAACAAGGAGGTCAGAAGAGGCAGCGTGGCAGAAGAGGAAAGGACAGGAACAGGAAGATGATTGGTAGTGATGGTCTCAGCTTCAAAGGAGAAAGGAGTGAGGACGCAGGGACAGGAGGTCGCCGATGGCTGTGAGCAGCTGCATCCAGTCTTTACTCTCACAAGGAGTTTTGGGGAAGGTAGGAAGTGAGCAACCTGCTAAAAGCTGCAGATGCAGTTGGGTCCTGGAAAGAGAAGTCACCCTCAGTAGCTTTGAGGTCTGGTATCCCAAGGGCCCAGGATTTCTGTGTAAAGTTTGCCAAACAGGGTGACAAGATAAATAAGGACCTGGAACTTAACCTGTGCTGCATTAATTACAGATTTAATGCAACCCCAATCAGAATACCAAGAGAATTCTTCACAGAACTAGAGAAAGCAATCTTAATGTAACAGAACGCCCCTGTCATCAGCCAGTATACTTCAGTTTCTTAGTTGCACAGGTAACAGTTTCTGTTCCAGTCCCAATCGCTTCTGATCTCTTAGAAACAGCTGGTCACTCTGAAACACAGTTCGTCACTATGATACACATGATAAGAATTAATCCCCAGTCCACAAGCCATTCTGCCTCTGTACTTCCTTCTTGTTTATCCCATACAAGCCCTAGACCACTAGAGATCAGGGCCTGATATTTTGGGAATGATCCTGACCAGTGCCCATTGATGTAAATAAAACTACCTCCAAATCCTGGTGGTGTTGCAATGTTTCTGCTTGCTGTTGTACCTGATGCATCGGCTGAGAAGGCCGACCATGCTGATCTCTTTGGTCACTGGACATGGCCCTGGAGGATAAAACAAGGATCTCTCCAGTTCTCAATGGGAAGGTGAGCTATCAAGTTTTCTCCAGTGCCTTCAGCGGTCTTGGAGGAGGATTCCTAGCTCCCTGCTGGAGCAGCTTACAGAGAACCCTGAAGGGAGGAAGACACAATCTGTCTGCCTGCCTGCCTGATTCCAGTAAGACTCCTAGGGGCACCCATGTTAGTCAGTCTGTCAGTCCTCAATTCAAGCACAAAAAGAGCTTGATTAACTCTTGCTAGTTAAGGGCACCCTCAAGGGAAGGAGGTTGGAATGTTTAACCTCTGAGTGCCTGCTGAATGAATGAATGTGTGAGTGAAATGAACAGCATATGCAATAGACTGCTCTGTCCGTGCACCAAGACTAGGAAGCACTGGTCTCAGTGGCTGATTGGACACTCATCTGCAGTTCTGTGCCGATTTAAAATGTAACAGCAAGCCTCACACCCTCCTTAGCTAAGTTGCACCTGTGTCCCATGAAGGGTGCAGCCAGGTGGGCATCTAAATGATCTCTATCCGGGGGCATCCACCCTTTGTCTGTTGTGCAATCATGCAAGGGTGCAAAACATATACTGCAGGGAGATAGAATGGTAAGTAATTATTAAAACTCACAGTCCCTGACTGCAGGAAAAGGGGCTTTTACAGAGTTAAAAATGAAACCAAACTGTTCCCTGCATCTCAAGGGAAAAAAAAAAAAAAAGGAAAAAGAGGCCCATTCTTCCCGACAGTTCTGCCGTGGCATACTCGTCAGCTATTGAAGTTGCTGCCAACACCTATAGCTTCACTCGCCACTCCTGACTCATCTACTTCCAGCCAACTGAACTGGTTCCACTAGCTGTTGCCTGAATTCAGCCACAGAAACCCTCCCTCCAGAGCCTTCTATTTACATGCCTACCTGGTCAGGCAACATCATCTAATGCCCATCCAAGATGACCGTCAACAATTCCTTGTGAGGTTTTATATTTTGACTGAGGAAAAATTGCCCTGTAAGCCCTGACAAATGAGTTGCACCCTGTTGGGACTGAATAGACAGGACAGACTGAGCTCTATCAAATTGGGCTCCTGAGAGTCTTCAATCATTGCAAAAGTTGGGGACAAACCTGTGACTTTCCTGGTGGACAATGGAACAGAACTCTCAGCCTTCAAACGTTATGTCAGCCTGAGACAGAGAACTGCAATCCTGAAGTTCTAAGAACTCTCCTCCAAGAGGTAAACTGGGAAACTTCTGAGATAACAGTCCAGCTCACTTGGACTCAATTGCCATAAGAGATTAAAAACTCTCCCACCTTGGCTCCATGGCTATGTCATCAAAACAAACCTGTAAGACCATCTGAGAAGCTCTCAGATTCAGCCCAAGCCAGAAAAGCTTTATCCTGTTCTTCCCAAAGACCTTGAATCTGACCTGCCTCCTCCTTAAGGTCATTGACCCTAAGCTACTCAGCCAGCCACACTGCTGCCACCATCAGTTCTGTCTCTTCCACCACAACCTTCTGCTCTACTGTCTGCAACTCCTGACTCTGTTTAATACTGAGGAATGCCACCATATTTTAGATGGGGTCCAAGCTTGGTTAAAATTCAAAACTCCCTGCCACAGCAGTTGACCCTGATGCTTGAGTGGAAATAGTCCTTCCACCAGTACAACCATCTGGGGTTGTAATGCAACAGGGGATCATGAAGCCTTAGATCAAAACTGCACTGCTCTCCTGGCAGACCTCAAAGAGAAATGCAAGAAGCCAATAAACATGTCCTGAAAAGTTACCCACTGGAGCTCTGGAAATGCATTCTGCCAAAGCAGATCCTGTGAGACCGATGGACACTTTATCAAACATCAATTCCTGTACATGCTTGAGTGCCCTACATCTCTCCTGGGATGTGATCAGCCTCCCTCACACTCAGGTCCTCTGTCCCAGACTTATTATTGACTGGTTATACCTCCAAAGGAAGACACTGGTACCTACATCAGCCTGAAATGTCTGATAATCATAACCCTAACATTTTGAGAGACTCATTTCTAGAAGTATGGACAACAGACTTACTCCAGAGCTTGCTATCAGTCATGCCCCTTTGATGATCCAGCTCTGTCCCAAGGCAACCCCCACCTGCTTCAAACAGTACACTTCTCCTGCCAGCTCAAGTTCTCTGGCTCCTTTAAAGCCAGCTCAGGTTCTCTGAGCTGCCAATACCACCACGATCGCCTTCCATGTATGTTGCCTTGGTCTTCTGCCACCTGCAGCCTGCTGGTATGTGCCTGGACCTAAGAGTGCCGTCGGTCTTTGGTTGGCTCCTATCAGCCAGCCTCTTTTTCAACTGACCTGTACTCAACCTCTCATAAGTTCAAAAACCTGTTTACACTCTTTGGAGAGGCCCTCACAGCTGACCTCCTTGGTTTCTCAGAATGACATCCAAGTTGTTGGAAAGACACAAAAGCTCTGCTACTGTATCTGGAAGAAACTGGTTACAAAAACCCTACAAATTTCTTGCTGGCTTCTACAAAATCTGGATCCTTGAGTTCACAAAAACAACGATGCTTACGCAGATTCTTAGCCCCTGTTAGTGCTCTACCTGTGCAAATACTTGGCCACTGTTCTGATCAAAAAAGCTGACAAGCTCACCGTAGGCAAAGACCTAACTGTCTAGGTGCCACATGCTGTGTGCCATACCCCACTCTGTACCATGGACTCTTATACAAAAATTCTTACCTGACTCTTGTGGTGATAAAACCACTCAATTTTGCCACATACTTGCTCACAGAACTGGGTGCCAAAGACCATGACTCCCTGACACTGTCTGATAAACTGTTCTCAAGGTGATCAGAATTTTTAAAAATAAATAAATAACCCCCCCCCCCGACAGAGCTGAATACACCTATTTATGGATGGAAGTAGCTCTCATAGGGCAGGCTAGATATGCCGTAGTCACCTTGGACAGTTATTTTGACCAAAGCTATCCTGCTACTGCTTCCTGCTGCTGTTTGGAAGCCTCCCACCAACAATGCAGAACCAGACTTGCTCCCACTATGTGTTCTGCAAGCTGAAATCACTGTCCTGGCACCTGTACCCCTGCAGCCAGCTCAAGCTTCAGCACCTGTGTCACTGGCCCCAACCTCCCATTCCCTACCCATACTGAGAAGATAATGAAAGTTTGTGGGGTCCCATGGTAAAAAGTCATCCCAGATATGACCTACTCTTAATCACTGGCAGCAACAACAGGCCTGCATTTAGAGCAGAGGTAACTCAAAACCTAGATTAAGTAGAAACTACACATAGCTTTTAACCAGTTAAAAGATCAGTGATGTCTGTAGATATTCCTGCACACACTACAACAGACCTCAGCATGCCAGATTTCAAGGTATATTACAAAGCTTCCTGGACAGAAAGAGCATGGTAGTGTCATTAGAACAGATCTGTGAATCATTGGAACAGAATAGAAAGTGTAGAAATGACCCCACAGGGCCTTGGCACTCAGGAAGCAGGAGGATCCCCACAAGCTCGAGGCCAGCCTGGCCTACACAGTCAGGTCAAGGCCAGCCTGAACTGCACAGTGAGAGCCTGTCTCAAACAAACAAACATACACACACACAAACAAACAAAAATAAAAAACAACTCCAGACACCTTCAGCCATCTGATGTTTGACAAAGGGGCCAAAAACATTCTGGAGGAAGACAGAGTCTTTAGCAAATGGTTCTAGGAAAACTGGCTGTCCATGTGCAGAACATTGAGCCTAGACTTGTGTACATCACCAGGTACTAAACTAAAATCAAAACACATCAGGTACATAAATATTAAGGCAGAATCACTTAACATGCTAGAGGACAAAATATGTACAACTCTTGAAGTCAGGGTTGTAGGCAAGGACTTGTTGAACAGAACCTAATGACATGAGAAATGACATCAAGAATTCACAAATGGGATCACATCAAATTAAAAAGCTTCTTCACACCCAAACAAACAACCAGCAGAGTGCTGAGATAGCCTACAGGATGGCAAAAATAATTCTGCCACCTATGTTTCCAATAGATGACCCATACCTGACATATGTAAACTAAGAAAGAAATTAGATCTCCCAAAATCAAAGATCAAATATGGGCAACTGACAGGAATACACACATCCCCGAAGAAGAAAGAAACCCAAAGTATACATCAATTAAAGAGCAAAAGAAAAGATAAAAGACAGGAAACAGGAATAGAGACTTTTTGCAAACGAGAAGAGGGCCAAGAAGGGAGGCGAAGGCGAGAGGAGCAGGGAGGCAAAGAGAATCAAGATGTGTCCCGCACAGGTACCATCGACCCATGATGGACACAATCATTATGTATCAAAAACACACATTACTTCCTTAAAAGGTATCTGTATTTTGCTTCCAACCTGTCCAGGACCTGAGCGGCACCTGTGCTTTCATTCTTAAAGATCTTTTCGCTGGTCCTCCTGAGGAAAGAGCAGGTTTATCAACCAAATCGTCATCTTTGGCAGGAGCTGCAGAGCCTGGCTGCCAGGGTTAGCAGTTACCCTTGTGTAGACTTAGGGTACTTTTAGGCCCCATCCCCTCGGATGAGCCAGGGAAGGGAAGAGGCTGTCCTGAAGTGTCTGTGCCACTAACCTCAACTCTCAAGCTAAGAAGACCACGAGGTACACAGTGCTCAGCCTGAGCTCCCGCCTCTGCTCACGCCAGGTCACTGCATGTCCTGTGGGCACCTCAGTTACTGATGCTTCCACCACAGGCCGGGCCTGCCCTTCTCCTGTCCAGTGCATGCCCATTCCTTGCTCACATGTTGCAAAGATACACCACACAAGCAGGCCATAGCATCTGTCTCCTAGCTGGCAACCAAAACAGAACGCTTACATACAAATTCTCTATGCCAAACATCAGAGCTTACTTTGTATTAATTTAAACTACCTTGTTATAGAGTTCAGATTTCATTGGCGCCTTCAGCTTCACTGTTAAACTTGGCAGGCTAAAGGCCCACGTGCTAAAGGTCAACCCAGGGCGGTGCCAGGGGGAGGGGTACAACCTTGAAGAGGTGTGGCGTAGTGAGAGATTTTGACTTCTTTCCATGTGTGGGGTGGTTTCTCTCTGCCACATAGGCCCACCATGCTGTGCTGTTTTCCAAGGGCCAAAGCAGTAAGAACAACAATGTAATGAACCCTGGACTGGAACCTTGCAAACTGAGTCAGTGGATATCATTACTGTATAACATCATTATCCTACACATTTGCTATAGTAGAAAAAACCTAATAGGGTAACCAATACACATTTCTACAATTAAACAGAAAATGAATTGAGAAGGGAACCAAACTGATCCACCACAAAACAAAACAAAACAAAGACACGGGCAATAATGGAGGAAATGAACAAAACTAATAAAGACATAAAATGTGAGAAGCAAAGGTCACAGTAAATAAAAATTAATGGAATAAAATATGAAAGTCAAAGTCAGAGACTGAAGAATGGTGACAAAGTAGGATCCAACTCTATGCTGTCACTGTGCAGGTTAGAGTCTAAACTAGGAATAAGTGGAAAGTGAAAGGACAGAAAATACTGAAGAACACGCCATTGAACAATTCTAGGAGAGTTCTATCCTGAAATTTCAATCATAAATATATTAAGCAGCAAGCAGAGCAATAAAAAAGAACTGGAATAAAACTCTAAAGTGGTTAGACC